TGTGGCCCAGGGGCCTCCACAACAGCTTAAGAAATAACAACATTTCGATGGGTTAACAAGAATACAAATCCTAAGTGGCCCGGGGCCTCCACAATCCTAAATCCGGCCCTGCATCGTATGGGCGCGGGGGCTCGGCGGTGTACGTGTGGTTCCCACGTTTTTTTGCAGTGTCGATGTTCTTCGTAATCGGCGTTCTGGTCATACGTACTGTACAACATGTACTGTACTGTGTGAATTGTAATACGGCGGTGTCAGCGTTCTTCGTAATCTGGCGATCCGTAACTTCATAATCTGATTTTTGTCAACAAACATACATTTTGTTAGGTTACGAAAAATTGGGTTAAAACTATCCAAATGATTTATTGATATAAATTTAACAATTAATTATTGAAGTTAAACTTCTTTAGGCACGCTTGACTTGGGGGGTAAACTGGCGAATGTGTTACGATTTTGCGTTACGATTAGTGTCATCGGTATCTCATCAATAAACAAACAACAATACCCGTCACAAAGTACATGAATCTAGTGCTTGGTGGGTGATAACGGATCAAGCGCGGATTGGTGGATGATAATTGACTCAGTGCGGATTGGAGGGTGATAACGGACACGGCGCAGATTGGTGGTTTTTTCTCTATCAACAAATCTTCAGGTTAAGTTTATGATTTTCAGATCATTGAAGCTAAAGAAGTATTCATTTGACATTGTGGGTTACCAATAATGCGAAGAGATGGCGTTGCCTTGCAGCTTAAGAATGGCTAGAGGAATTTCGACGCGGTCCGTTAGGGCCGCGGTAGCATAATTGGTCAGTGCATTCGCCCGGATTGCGAAGGGTGCGGGTTCAAGCCCCGTCTGCGGCCTGGTCCGCGTGGATTTTTTTCTAGTTATATTTTCTTTAAAGAAGTTTCACTTCGGTCGTGTGGTCAAAAGCACACTCGCTTTTTTTGTTACTGGGACGAAGTTCCTTTTCCGACGGTATGGTGGATAGGCTAGTAAGTGAAAAATTTCGTCCCATCACAACCTAGCGAGGCAGCTAGCTAGCTAGGCAGCTGGGTGGGTTCCTAGATGGGCAGCAGGGTAGGCGACCACTGACGGCGGTGGCTGTGGACTTGGTTTAAAATTTTGTTTATAATTTGACAGAATCCGGAGAACAGGTCACGAGCCACCACACTGCCCCAGTGCGGGTTGGTGGTTAGAATACTTTTTTGAAGTTATACTTCTTTAGGCGCGTTATGAAAAAATGATGAGAGTGAAATTTTAAGATGCGCGCGCATCACTGTAAAACAAAAATTAACAGCATGAAGTTGGTCGCTAAAGCGACCAACTTCATGTTCAAAAGCTGTTACTTTTGTGTTTACCGCACATTAAGAAAATCTACCAACAAAATAGAAATAGAATCTCTATTTAGTGGGTGCTAACGACTGCATTGTGAAGGCCTATCAAAAGTATTTATTTATCTGGAACAACGGAACCAAAGCGCGATTCAGGAGACTACAGCGCCATCACTTGACCATTGGTGTAGTAGAACCAAAAACCACATCTTTATTTTTTGTAATAAAGTAACAGTTATAAGTATTCATATTTATAATATCAAAAGTATTTATTAATCTGGAACAACGGAACCAAAGCGCGATTCAGGAGACTACAGCGCCATCTCTTGACCATTGGTGTAGTAGAACCAAAAACCACATCTTTATTTTTTGTAATAAAGTAACAGTTATAGGTATTCATATTTATAATATTTATCCACATGTTTCTAGTTTGTATATTCGGAATACGTGTTTGAGTTTCATACAAGTGCAAATCACATATGTTCTAATAAATTATATTCAGTAGCGATTTTAATTGAATATTTTGATTATTTATTTATTTTTTCAAATTAAAACTGAACTTTATTGACTGTGTCCTTTTCCAGATTTTATTAATTTATTGTAATTAATTATTTGCATGCAATTAAAAACTAATTTTAAACGATGCCAAAGAAGGATAACTTCTCACGCGCCTACATATGTACACGCACCCATTTTTTTTGAAATACGGAGATATTGAGATGGATAGGGGGTGCACTGGACCCGACCCACACTGGACCCAAGCCGCTTTGGACCCAATCCGCTCTGAGCCCAATCCACACTGGGCCAAATTCGCATTGGGCCGAATTTGCACTCTGAATCAGAAGCCGAAGAATCAGGCCATGACTCGCCACACAGGCCCAGTGCGGATGTTTGGGTGGTATATAAATATTTATAACTTGGTTCCAACCGAGTGTTGGAACCATGTTATAAATATTGACTTGACTGCTGGTATTCGGATTTATTTTTCCAATCTTATATTACGTTTCTTTAACCAATAGGATATTGGGAATAAACTATAAGATCATAAAATGAATGAAATTTATAGAAATATAATTTTAATTGGTAAAACATTTGTGATTTTTGTAAATAATTCTTTTTATTATTTAAGTTTTAAATTTATATTCATATTGAAATTCATAAGGTATATCATGAAAACAAAATCTAAAAAAATTGAGGATCTCTGGATTATAACGATTTTTGTAACATATAACAAAAGATAGAGTTAAATAAAACTAGTTTTTTACGGGTTAATGCACGAAACTTTATTTATTTATTGACGTTTCGTAGCCTTTACAGGCTACGTCGTCAGAATCGAAACGTCAATAAATAAATAAAGTTTCGTGCATTAACCCGTAAAAAACTAGTTTTATTTAATGAGTGCGATGAATGTGCGTGAAAACCTAAGAAACAAAAAGATAGAGTTGCTAAAATTACTTTATTTCCGTAATCGCAAGCTAAAATAAAAAAATCGACTAATATAACTAACTAAATAGTTATTTATGATCTGAACTTAATTTGGATGTCGATTTAGACACGCACAATGTGTGTGTAACACATTACATCAGTGAAAAAGTTAAAAAAAAACAAAGGCATGTTTGAACTTAACTTAATTATTCATTTCGGAAATTTTGTAACTTTTAATAAGACTGTATCACTTTCTGTCTTGTGAGCTATAATTGATCATAAGATTTTTTATGCTCTAAGTTATAAGCGACAGCGGATGAATGAATTTTACTGAATTTCGATGAAACACAAAAGGATGTTTATTTTTAGTTATTTACTTCTAGACCAAAATCCACAGCATTTTCTTAATATAATACAGGTTTTACAATATAGTTTATTAAAAATAAGTTCATATATACTACTGTAGTAGTCACGTCACGTCAGAACGTCATTCAATAATACTCAATTAATTTGCAAATATTTAAACGCAAATGAAAACTCAAGACGCTTGTTAAAGTAACAACGAGGTGTAAATACAATATGAACGAGCAATAAATCAAAAGTGACCCGCCGTTATGATAATTATTGAGCTTAAATATATATTTTTAAATGCCACTAATTTTATCACAACTGATTTGGTAAGCAGTGCCGTCTTTGACCTATTGGAGGCCCTGGGCATATTAGGATAATGGGGCCCCTATGACTTCCGTTTGGTGATTTAACAGGAACAAGGGACTTTGTATTTGATCTGAGGCCCCCTATCGATCGCGGGACCCTGAGCACTTGCCCAAAGTGCCCACTGGGAAAGACGGGTCTGTTGGTAAGAGTTTAAAACGTCATGTATTATGCAAACGTATATTAGTAATACATCTAGTATAAAATAATCAATTTTATCTGTATATATACAATAAAACTAGTTTTTTACGGGTAAATGCACGAAACTTTATTTATTTATTGACGATTCAAATTGATTCTGACGACGTAGCCTGTAAAGACTACGAAACGTCAATAAATAAATAAAGTTTCGTGCATTAACCCGTAAAAAACTAGTTTTATTTAATGAGTGATGTACGTGAAAACCTAAGAAACAAATATATATATACAAGTTAATAAAAAGAAATAATTGATAGCCCTTGTCTTACAACTTGAGCCTCATTATGCAACTACAAAAATCGTCAGATTCAAGAGTCGGACGAGTGCAATTGCTTGCACCGAGTTCAATGCCACGGTCGCTCGTTAACGGATGAGTTCACGTTACGTCATCTCGAGCCGTCGAGCGATCTCGTGAGTTTATGTTACGTCATCCATACCGATCTTCGAAACAATACCGCTGAGTCGGACACCGTTAAACGGAGCTTAGTTCATGAATGTAATCACTTTATAGTGTTGTTATTGGGTATGGTTAGATGGCTATAATACAATCTTGATGGTAACAAGATATTTTGCTTTATGATAAATTACTCACATATTTGTAAATAAACAGAGCTGTAAACTGGATACCCAACTTTTTACATTGATAGCCATTGTTTTTAGGTTTCCGTACCTCAAAAGGAAAAAATGAAACCGTCTGTCCGTCCGTCTGTCAAGACCGTTTTTCTCAGGAAAGCGTGGAGGTATCAAACTGAAATTCATATCCAATACTCAGGTCTTCTGTCTCTTGGAGCTGTGAAAAAATCAAACTTCTAAGCCAGAGCAATGAAAAGATACAGCCGTTTATGCCGCAAATTTCCGTAAAATTTTCGAAACTCGCACGGGAATCAAAACCTACAGGGTACTTCCCGTGATCTTAGAATCTTGTTTGGTACGAAGTAACGTCTTATAGTACAAATAAAGGAAAAATTGCGAAAAACGTTAATTTTTAATTACATCATAAAATAAATTTTTTTTTTCAAAATTCATCATTATAAATCTATAAATGGAATTTTTTAATGGATGCGAACTTAAAATAAGCAATTTCAAATATTTATAGAAAAAAATAAAAAAATCTCTCTCTCTCTCTCTCTCTCTCTCTCTCTCTCTCTCTCTCTCTCTCTCTCTCTCTCTCTCTCTCTCTCTTACACACACACTTTCTCTCTTATAGAGTTCAAAAAACTTGTAGTGTAAAATAAAACGAATGCTCATTTAAATTTTCAAACCTAATAATCTAGTATTCTTAATCTGACTAATTTGGCGTTGGCAAATGAAACGTACGCAATTCTAGTATCGAGTTTGTACAAAACGCTCCGATTCCCAATGAAACCCAATAGCTATTGCACAATAGGGATTGATTTTCAATTCTATTTGCATATAAAGTGCGGGGAAACAGCTACAGAAGCAAAACTATCTGATCAACGGAAGAATAACCACTGGGTATCATCACTTCACGAGTCTAAAATGTTTCAAAAGGTAATTGCAAGTGATTTCCTGTATAATTTTTGTGTAAAATAAAAAAAAAATGTGTGTGTCAACTCCGACGCACGACTGGAGTTTACTCCTTAAGTTCGATAGTCTAACCAGACGCAAAAAGAGTTTATTTAACTTAAAAAATATTGATACTGTATGAAAGGGTAATTAACAAATTAATGAAAATTAGAAAGTTGCGCGACATAGGATGCGCACCAAAAACGTAACGAGGTCATTCATCGATAGATTTTACTCCTCACATTTTTCTCATACCGGGCCCCTTATATATACAAATCGATTCTTAAGGAACAAACTCCAAAAATATATTAGTTATACGAATTCTGGATCTTAAAGAGTAACATTCATTTAAATAATATTAGTAGAGTATTTTAAAAAATATTTGTAATAAACTTTATGATGTAGAACATAATCATTAACCTTGACAAGTAATTAATATGAATATTGAATTCCTATTAAATTTGTATATTGTTTAGCGTAATCAATCACTGGAATTCATATTTGATTAAATACATATTTCTATCGATACAAACTGGATCATTCCATTTGCATTTGTTTCAATTTACAGCTGTTCGCCGTTCTCTCGTACCTCGTCATTTCTACGACCTGCACTATCTTACATCAGCAGCCGATTCCCTTACTACTTGGTCTACAAAATCATGATGATCCCAACTACAGTTTTGCTTACAACGTAAACGATCCTCACACTGGTGATGTTAAAAGCCAGCATGAAAGCAGAAGGGGTGACGTTGTTCTCGGGCAATATTCCTTAGTCCAGCCTGATGGTGTACAGAGGACAGTAGATTACAGAGCTGACGTGCATAGAGGTTTTACTGCCACCGTGAACAATGAAGCGAGACCAGCTATTCATCAAGTAGCACAAACTACAGAAACGCCAGAAGAGCCACTTAGACAATCAAATCTGAACGTACACATTATCCATTATTATCCATCCGCGAGCTATACCACCACCTCGGCTCCTGTGCGTGTTGCTATATCCAGAACTTCTTTACATCAAACTATTTCAAATGGACATTATCCATTAGCTTAAATGGAGGAAGCCGAAGTCATAATTAAAGTTAAACCAACAGGCGACGAAAACGGACACCGTCTAAATTACTATGCTGCATTTATAGCACTTTATTATGACTCTTAGTTTTGCATAGAAAAAGCAACTTTGATTTAATGCCTCTTGAAGGGGTGGCTGTTAATCTGGTCCGCAATAGAATTACGTCAATATCTAGTTAAAATGCGGATTACGATTGGAATGAGCATGATAATAACATAATTGGTGAACCAGATGGCCTTGCCAGTACACTGTTACTTACTTCCAAGGGAAATTGCCTTTATCCACACTGTAAACTTAATGCCAGTCCTATGACTAATGCTAATAAAGATACCTTTCCTATGCATTTGTAACATTTTATGACTAAGTAATGTGAGTTTAAATAAAAGATAGCAATTATGTTTTGTGTTTCCTTTCCTACACAATGTCGAAGATATAGTTTGGCGTTCTTGTTGCTGCATAAAATTATAGTAATTTTATCAATTTATATCAGATCATTTACAAAAAGCACTATTATATGCACACTGATAGTAAATATATCAGTGTGCATATAATTTTGAATAGCTTAAAATTAAAATGACATGATTAATGTGAAAATTAAAATACAAATGTAAATTCAATAAAACGCACAACCAAGCAAATACTCATTAATAAAATCTGCTAAAACATTAAGAATGATATTCATATTGAATAAAATAAAGTACCCAGCTAGTCCTTTAGTAGTGGCATATTTTGGCGAAAATTAAAGAAAAATATGAAGAGCATTTTGTACTATTAAACACATTCATAGCTTGCACATTATAGATGACATTTATTATTATTAGTTTATAAGTCTGAGTCTATTTAAGTTGATAATGGTGTCGATTCTGGTACGATTCTCTAAATCTAAACTTAAATTTGGCAACAGTGTATCCTTGTTATTCTATATACAGAATAAAAAGGAGAGACTGATGTTAAATTTAGTTTTAAGTTTAGAGAATCACGCCAGAATCAACACCAATGACTGCCATTTTCTTTGCGAAAACATTAGTTTAACATATTCTATTGCTATTGCAAAGAAATAAGTCAAAATTGCCAAGCATTCAATTGATCGAAGTCTTCGTATTACGCAGCCGTAACAATATTATCGAAGAGTTTAATTGAACAATATGTATAATATACAAGTAAATTGTTATAAATATTTGCATGTATTTAATAAAGACACACAAGTATGTTTCTTTACCTCTGAGCTGCGGTTGTTTATGAAATTATTAATGTGGAAAGGTAATTCTATATTAACTTTGATTTCCTATTCATTTGTTAACGAGACTAGTAATTTGACAAAAACGATTTTAGCATTACTCCGATCACGTACCAAAAGTGTTTTTTAAAGTATTTCAATCATTTATCTCTCTAATGTTGTATTTGGACAATACTCCCAAAGCGATTGTTACATCAAGATTTTTATTCTGATGATGCTTAATCGAAAATAAAACGATAGTTGAATCAATTACCTATTCAAAATGTTCTCGCGGGTCGTTAACATTGATTGATGAAGATATAAAGATTGCAACTTGTTATTAAGAACAAGTGCATCGCCCTGTACGCACTTGACTTTTAATTTATTTCCTGATTTTCTTCGCAAATAAACTAGTTTAAGTGGAACTGGAACAATACCCGAGGGAGATATAAAAAGGTATCGAATCATCGGGTGCAGCATCACTTCGAAAACATCTTTCGACGTAGTCACAACCAGTACTAAAAACTCCATCAAAATGTTTGTGAAGGTAAAAGTATTTGTGATTTAAATTAAATTCAATCTTATTGTTTGCATTTAAAAATTTTGTTTTCTTAATCTAATAATTTTCTGGTCAACCTATGAAGTCAAGAATGGCTTGCACTTCATTCCTACTATTCTGTGTTTCTTTACTGTTTGTCAAGATTAAGCTCCAGTAACAATTTAATTTCCTGATCGTGTCTTCGATGGACTAGTCTAGTAAATAAATATGTTTTTTAACGTAGTTATCAAATTTGTGACGACCACCTTCCACCAACCACCGCCTTGCTTGGTATTCATTGCCGATCACCATCTTTAGGCTTTCAGATCCAGGCAAACCCCGGCCTTGTCGCTAACTGTTATATTTTTAACTTCAATCAAATTTAACTGCAACTCTTTCATTAATTCAAAATAACATTAAAAATATCAATGTCTCTCTCTTTCTAACTAACAATATTAACAACAAAACTATACTCATCAAAAAAGTCACATGAACATTTTTGAAATTTTGATCGATTTTTAAAGTTTATAATATTATTATTTTGTGAAAAAACCAATATGCTTTATCATAATATTAATGTTTAAAGCAAAAAAAGTTTCAATAAATTCTGTATTTCATAACTATAGGAAATAAAAATATGAACTCATAAATCTTGTTGTTTGCGTAACTTATGCATGTTGTTTCGACTTCATTGATGTGTGTACTTGTGTTGATTATACAAATAAATGCAATTTACAGGATGGCACCTAGAACCATTACTGCAGAAAGCAGGATCTCTGTCGTAATAAATCGTCTTAATGAAATTTTACCCTATATTTATATAAAACTCATACTATTCCAGTTCGTCGCATTCCTCTGCATCGTGGGCTGCGCTTGCGCCGGCGACCTTACAAGCTTCGCTTACGGCGTGGCGGACCCTTTCACGGGCGATTTCAAGAGCCAGACCGAGACTCGGCTAGGTATGAATAAATCAATATGCTACCGCAGATAGTGTCCACACGAATTATTTGTAACTCGCCAGTAGGATTGCTTGTTTCCATTTTAGATTCTATAGAAATAATAACACCATTCATTATAAATATCAGTAGGTATTATTTCCCTCAGGTTCGAGTGGTCTAGAGGATCCAGACGGAGAGGAGACTCCCCCCGTGGGGAGACGCCATCCGCCTGGAATACTTCTATACCTCTAGAGGCACTCGCCAATTCTCGCCTTGAGGTCCCCTTAGGATCTCGCCGTCCCCAAACCCGGTGACGCTGTAAAGGTCATCTGCGACCAACAGCATACACACTCAAAACAAAAGAGAGGGAGGGCGGATTTGACTCTCGAATTGGAGCACCCGCCTGGAGAAGTACCTCTACCTTCCAGAAGATCATAGTAAAATAACACTATTTTTCTGTGCGTAAGGTTCCAGGGCTCCACGGGGTAGAGGAATTGGGTCAGGGTAGGCAATGGTGCCAGTGATATTTTTTGTATCGCAAGCGTCTATTGTCTATGGTGGCCGCTTACTATCAGTGGCACCATGAGCTTGTTTGCCAATCTTTTAATATAAAATATAATAATACAGATCTTCCAATGAAGTAACATAAATAGAGGAGCTCGATGGTGCAAGTGGTTAGCGCGTTCGGCTGCGATCGTTGAACTTAAGCAACTTTCGCAGTGGTCTCGAGCTCCTCCGTGCTTCGGAAGGCACGTTAAGCCGTTGGTCCCGGCTGCATCTGCAGTCGTTAGCACCCATCACCAGCGCTGGGCCTGCGTGGTGGGTCATGGCCCAATCTCCCTATTCCATCCGTAGGGAAGGACTGTGCCCCAGCAGTGGGGACATTAATAGGCTGATGATGATGATGAATCAAGTAACAGTCAGTAGAACGTCATGGATTAGAGTCAACTCAGAGAAGTTTATTATTTGAATTTCTAAGATACATTCTTCATTCTTCTTTATTATTTGAATTTCTAAGATACATTCTTCTTTATTATTTGAATTTCTAAGATACATTCTTCATTCTTCTTTGAATTTCTAAGAAACATTCTTCATTCTTCTGTGATTCGAAATTATAACTCACCACGTGGACTCGGGGGGATTGGTGAGTGAAGACTCTTCAGATACAACTGGAACCAATGGCTGGAAAGCTTACTCGCCACAACAGTAAAATCAAAAACATGGGATTAAAATTTTTGGTTCGCCCATCTTAGGTCTGACCATTGCTAATGTAGTTGAACTTCCTTAATAGTAGACCGGACGTAGTACACACTACACCTACCTCATCGACCATCACTCTATATCCGCTGCAATCAAACTTATGATGCTGTTAATAACAATCCATATAATCTTTGATGTTCTATATATACCAACTCCAAAAAGGTTATATTCCTTACTAGCGGTCCGCCCTCGCTTCGCTTTGGTGTAGAGCTGAAGTGTAGACTACAGTTTTTGTTCTCTGGCTTATATTATACACAATAACATTCATCTATGATTCTTCTTATACCTGCATGCAAAGTCTCAACCCGATCGGTTTAAAATTGACAAATTTTCATTCCCTATTTGATCCCCTTGGGGGTAGAATTGATCAAAATCCTTTCTTAGCGGATGCCTACGTCATAACATCTACCTGCATGCCAAATTTCAGCCCCATCCGTCCAGTGCTTTGGGCTGTGCGTTGATAGATCACTATGTCAGTCAGTCACCTTTGAGTTTTATATATATAGACTAGCTGTGTTACCCGTGGCTTATCAGGGATATTTTCTTGCAGTTAAACGTAGGCTATGTGTTCATCCAGAGTGTCAGCTAACTCCATACCAAATTTTATTATAATCGCTCCAGCCGTTTAGACGTGAAGAAGTAACAAACATACACACTCTCAAACTTTCGCCTTTGTAATATTAGTGTGATATATGATTATGCTACCGCAGCCCTCATGACCGCGTCGAAATTCTTTTAGCGGTAGCATAATTGGTCAGTGCATTCGCCCGGATGGCGAAGAGTGCGGGTTCGAGTCCCGTCTGCTGCTTGGTCCGCGTGGAATTTTTTCTAGTTATATTTTCTTTACATTTAAACATCAATCAGTTACATGCTTTAAAATAATAAAAAAAAATGTGTGTGTCAGCTCCGACGCACGACCGGAGTAATCTAAAAAAGATTGTCTTTGAACAGACACAAAACAAAATCAAGTCCGAAGAAGTCGGTTACAAGTAGAGATACCTCAGGAATCGTCCCATGGTTTCGACTATCATAGGTTCCATGTCACACATTTTATCATATAACATCAGCGATATTCATCATATATTTTATTATGTATTTCTGGAAACACACAATTTCAAAAATATCACACACTAGTCATCATTTTGTAAATATGTATTATAATTCCATCTGTACTGAAAATCACTATTCCAGAGTGCTGGACACTTACCAGCATTTCTCTATATTCTGTTATTTATTTGTTTTCATTAATTTTGCTCCAATTTTATCTATTTTTAGTTTATTTATTGTATTGACATTTGTGACAACTTAATGTTTTTTATCCGTTGCCATGGCTAAAAGTGAAAGGCGCGCAGATGAGGTTGCGCACAAAAACGTAACGAGGTCATTAATGTCATCGATAGATTTTACTCCTAACATTTTTCTCATACCGGGCCCCTTATATAT